GCCAGGGCCTGGACAGAATGATTGATGGAGAGATGTTTGGGTGGATGGAGCTTTTTAACGTCAGAGGCGGCGACAGGTTGGTGTAAGTGAGGAGATAGACCGCGAGGGGGCACTGTAACACTAGTTATGCTGCTCCTGCTCACCACATTCTTTTTTTTTTTTTTTTTCCCGCAAGATGATTGAAACCTTTGCTGATCATTTCAAGCACAGAAAATAGTTTTTATGGGAGCGCACCATGGGACGTCAGGGGTGAACCGTCTTTAGGAATTATTTTTTGTTGTCCGGTATTTATCATAAAGCCACAGTACCACATGGGATGCCATTGCATCGCCGGGGGGGGGGGGGGCTCATTTTGGGAAAGGGGAGTGCGGTGGGTGTCGGGTGATGGAGTGCTGTCCTTTCCATCAGCCTCATTAGTTAATTATATTGTCAGAGATCCCATTAGTGTCTTACAGTTCACTGAACTCCTCCCTTTGTATCAACATCTACTCAGGGTTTGTCTGTTTTTGTGTGTGTGTGTGTACACACTCACACTCACACACGCACACTAATTGTGCATGTTTTGTCATTGAAAATATATCAGGATTGGCACAGTTTTATGTATGATTTCATTTTTATTTACTTGTTAAGCGTTACGGCGGCCCTCTGGTCACGAATGCCCGAAGACAGCTGGGATCGGCTCCACCACGCCCGCGACCCTTGTGAGGGTAAGTGGATGAGAAAATGGATGGATGGATGTTAAGCATTACCAATTTCTTGCATGTGAATCATAATCAGTAATTTTGACTGGCAGCTTCCACAATATTGAATTTCATTTTCGCTATCGCAGTGGTTGTCAATCTTTTTGCACTGATTACCACTTCAAAATAAAACCTAGCTCTCCAAGTGCCACGAAATGACAAACATTAAAATACAGTCCCACATATGTATCAAAAACTGATTTTTTGTCCAAAAAAAAGTATATTTTACATATTGCCATCAGATAACCAATTAAAAAATTATTGTGAAATATTACAAGTTAATAATTTTGGTCCCAGTAAAGCCAGGGCCTGGACAGAATGATTGATGGAGAGATGTTTGGGTGGATGGAGCTTTTTAACGTCAGAGGCGGCGACAGGTTGGTGTAAGTGAGGAGATAGACCGCGAGGGGGCACTGTAACACTAGTTATGCTGCTCCTGCTCACCACATTCTTTTTTTTTTTTTTTCTTCCCGCAAGATGATTGAAACCTTTGCTGATCATTTCAAGCACAGAAAATAGTTTTTATGGGAGCGCACCATGGGACGTCAGGGGTGAACCGTCTTTAGGAATTATTTTTTGTTGTCCGGTATTTATCATAAAGCCACAGTGTGCTTAAGAGAATTAATAAATCATACTGCAACTTAAAATGTTCCGTTTCTTTCCTCCTTTTGATGGAAGAGAAGTTTGCTTATAAAGCTATTAAAAACATGCTTGTCCTCGTGAGCGATGAGGGCGAGCGAGAGGCTAATCCCAGCTAATTCATTTGCAAGGTACATTTAAAGACTCAACCACTCGCATTCATAGCTACGGACTGTTTTGCACCTTTGAAACTAACTTTCATGTTTTTGGACTATACGAGAGGAAAACCAACACATGCCTCCTCCACACAGGAAACGAAGTCAAACTGAACCTCACCAAATTAGGCCATTGTGCTATACTGTATATAAATAACTTGAAAATGAATAAAGATATGTCTAATCAATAGTTCTCCTGTGGAGTCTGATTTAATACCAAATTGTAAATAAAAATGATAAAAGCATTCTAGGCACAAAACGATTCTCACAAGACGGAGAACAATAAAACAAAAAAGTTTACAGCCTAGAAGCCCGTCTGGCTGTTTTCTTCCTGGATCATTGTAATTTATCTTGACACGCATAATGTTGTGTGTTCGTTTATGACGCATAGTCTCGCGCTAATCTGCGTCTGAAACTCAACTGTGACCAGTGTACTTTAAATCTGCCAGTTCGCGTCAAAACAAAATGTCGTAAACACGCCTCGCGTCTCCTCGCTGACGGCGTGATTCATTTGCAAACGCGCTCGGCCAAGTCATGAAATGGCTTTTAAGTTTGGTCGGGAAGAAACACAATCGCTCGATTTGATGAATTCCCCATGCAGAAAACCGGCAGAATTTTTGTGGCTGCGGAACATTATACATTATCTTTCCGCTTTGATTGTATTTCAATGGTTCTCTGTCCGTCTTGACGGGGCTCGAACTGTTCCAGATGGTTGCAAACATACCTTGACGACAATGGCGAGGAGACTTCTTTTAACCAAACAACGTCAAACTGACATTGCGTGGCAGCCTGCCTCGATCCATCAATGGAGTCGTTGTTATTGCTGAGAAGGGGTAAAATATAAAAGTACAGTATTTGGCCGCAGTCTGCTACATCTGCACATCGTCCTTGTCTGCTCTCCTCGGGGGTCGCGTTGTTAACTTCTACAAGCTTTTAGGGAAGCAATACTTGATGTGATTTCCAATACCAAACCCCCCCCCACCCCGCCCCCCCCCCCCGCCCATCCCAACACTTCTTCAAACTATGAAATATAAGTATTTTAAGCGCTCTTAACAGCCCAAAAATAAGGATTAAAAACAAAAATAGAACAATCTTGTGAGGAAAGTGTATGATGAGCCTCGCCTCTTGCTATTAGTCTTCTATTTCCTTGTCCTATGTGGAGTCTCTCACATTTCAAACGATATCTAAAAATCAGTTTGTGTGTATAGTACTCCACTTTTGAGATAGTGGACCTCAGAGTTTGCAGTGGAGGTTTTTTTTCCCCCCCTCGTATGTGAACAGTTGGACTGGCTGATGTAGGTTTATCTAAGGTGATTCTAAACAAAGCCTACATATAAACTAAATATATTATAAATGGAATGTTTTAAAAGTGGGTGGTGTCTACCCCTTGGAAGGACAGACGAAAACAATTTCCCAAGGGGAAATTTGGGATGAATGACAGATGCGGAGGAATGTGTGTTTTCTGTGGAATAGATGAATTTGATTTATTCTCATTGGCCTGATTTTAAGAACGCGCCATAAAACTCGAAACCCACTAAAATAACACTCTTGAACCTGTGAATTAAAAAGAGCTGCATAATATTTCTCAGAAATTAAATGTGGAATAATTGTGTGGGCTGTGTGGTTATATGCACTTTTTTTTTTTTTTTTTTAACAGTCTGGATGGTTTTAATTGCTGTTCAGTGGAGCTGCATTACTCCCACATCACAACGTGTACCAAACGAGTATGTGAGGCACGCCGCTCTGCGGCAGTAAATAATCTTTCGTCTTTTGCAGGAAACCAGCAGCAAAAATGACATGCAAATCTCTCTGCAGTTTCTCTCTCTCGCTCTCTCGCTCTCTCGCTCTCTCTTGCTCTCTCGACCTCTCCCACACACTCTGTAAACCTTTCCATCTTTGTGATCACAATTCTGGCCAATTATTAAAAGCTTGGTACATGAAAATTGGACACTGAGCTCTCCAACTCAAATTTCACAAACTGGACTTGTGACACCAGGGCGCACGTGCACATTTAATTTGTGTCGATTTGTTCATCCATTCATTCATGCGTTGTCCGACCTGCTTATCTTCGTGAGGGCCACAGGCATGCTGGTGTGTTTACAGTGCTAATTCTAGCTTAGAATTAGCCTGATGAGTGAAGGCTTTGGTCTGACTCGGTGGGATGGGCGAAGTGGGTTTGTTAAGTGAGGCTAAAAAAGTGCACCCCTCCTCAGGTATACGAACATCGGCTAACTTAAAATCGATCCTGAAACTCAAAGGGAGCCAATGCGATGATTTTTTGAATTAGTGTTATCACAGTTACACCAAGCCTTCTGATCTTCATCAGGACAGGCGCTGCGGAGTTCTGTCATAACGGTAAACTGTAATATACTTTTTATACTTTACAAAAGGTGATAAAAAGCACGACAAAATGCTTTATCGCTAATCTGCTATCGACATGATGAGAGCACCTGCGACAAAGTAGACTCGCATGCCAACACCACCAGATGTCTCGTGTAATTGTCCGCCTTGACTAATGAAGTTAAAGTAATCTGACTGAGCGTACTCTCGCAATGACACGCTTCATTGTCTTTTCTGTCCTCTATAAAATAAATCTTACAATAGCGGTCGCGTAAATCTCTTGCAGAATAGAATGCTCATCCAAACCGGACAGGGGAAAAATATAAAAAGTCATTCCTGGTTTTTGGCCTCTGTAAAGAAATCAACAGAATCTGAAACCTTCCACAGTTTATGGATACATTGTTTTTTTTTATGATGTGGAAAAGGGCACATTTAGAGAGCACAAAAAAGAGAGAGAGGAAAAAAAAATATCACAGATAGTCATGATCCAGCTGTATAAGTGTAGAGACATAAATCTCCTGATCACAGTCTGGTCTGGCCTTGACTCGTGTGATCAAAAGAATTCTTCCCTCTGTCTTTTTATTTTTTTTTCCTTTTTAGTTTAGCTTACGCAGACTTGTTAGTAAAAAGCTAACTGGGCTCATTCAAGCATTTTTCTTTGATTGCACCAAGCTATGCCACAATGTATTATGATGTGAGTTGACTTTTTTTTTTTTTTAAATACAGAGTGCTCAATCAACCATATCTCAGTGCTAATTATTGCTGACTTATCAGAAAGAGGAAAAAAAAAACATCTCCAGGTGCCATTGAACTGATAGTACCGCTACGCCAAAAGGGAGTGTGTGCTACTTCCCTTGCTCTTTGTTATGGCAACCTATGTTGGTTGTGACAAGTCCAATACAATGCACAATGCTGAAATGCGCTGCTTTGAACACCGTCATTTGACTTTTTCCTTTTCTTTCTGTCAGCCTGCACTATCTTTTGCACGTGTCATCATTTTACCGCCTTTGTTCCTTGGGCTTTGGGCTCTGACCTTCCCGTGTATCGTTCTGCAGGCACGCCGGCTTCCTCCCACATTCCAAAAATATGCTTGTCGGATTCACTGAAGACTCTAAAAGGTCTGAATGTGAGCGTGAAGGATTTGTTTGTTTATATGTGCCCTGCACTTGTCCTGTTTGGGGTTGCATAAACCGCCAAGAATAGATTGTTTGGAATTACCTTTCACCGGAACTAAAATTGTGTTTTTTGATAGGTTTAGTCCATGGAGCAGCTGGAACTGTTCTCGAGTCACTCGCTCAAGACAGCCTCCAAGTCAACAATTGTGGGATCGATTAAGTTAAACGAACAGGGACAAGTTTGGTTGCAGTGTGTGAAATTTGAGATTTCGCGAGAGATCAGTTGCTGACCCCCTCTGATTTATGAGTGTTATTTTTCTAACTCTGCTCAGCGCAGGCATTCGGTGCTGTCAAAAAGTATTTATTCGCCCTCTTCTCAATTTCTTTCTTTCCCGCTCCACTTTAATGTTTAAGATCAAAATGTAGAGCATGTCCTCAGCACTTGACCATTTTCAAGTTTCTATTGCGTCCTTTGTCTTGCTGTCCCAATTCTTACTAGGCACATTTAAACCCAAGGCTACGCGTGGCCGGCAAAGGCACCAATGAACTGTTCGACTCGCCATCCAGCCGGTGCAATATAAGCCGCAGAGGTAAGTGGAAAGCAGGAAGAGGATTTATTTTAATTCATCTGGTTTAAATTTAGTTTTTTTTTCTTCCTGAAAATGCTTTATTTTATTTATTTTATTTTATTTTTTTGGGATAATATTTGTTATATTTTTCACTGCAATATATTCGAGGATGGCAACTGAAATGTTTTCCCACAGTGCGAGAGTCCAGCGACCCAAAAAGCAAAGCGGTGCCCCCCAGCGTCACCTCGTGTGCCAGATCGCCGAAATATGAGCAATAACTTCCCACTCTCACTTCTACAAAGCTGGCAGCATGTGATGCCGCCCTGTCCCATGCCTCAAAGGTCAGCATGAACCTCTGACCTTGGCCTGACCTTGCCAGCCTTGAGGTCAAGCAGTTTTAATTCCTGCTTTTGACGCAAACCGTTTTGGAAAACATCCCACTTTTCTTTGCTTTTGGGACGATGGAAAGACTCCGATGGAACGTCAGGTTTCCCGTGGGGATCATGGAACCGGAAACGTAATGGTGAGTCAGCTCGTCAAGTGTTTACAAGCCGAGTTTATGTTACACTTCGCAGTAAACGGAATCGGCGCTGCCAAATAGGAACTTTGGAGGACAATTCTTTGGGATGATGAATTTGAAAGGAGGGTATAACCATCTGTGTTCCTCTTACTGATGACTCCATCTCTCTCTATGGGCACATAGGACTTCTCCTTTCTCTCTGCCAGCTGTTTCCGCCCGAAAAGAAAAACACCCCCCTCCAAAAAATTGTGATTAAATAACCATGGACAACAACACTGTCAATATGATTGCGTTATAATAATAGCAATCGCGCAAGACTCCAAACTTACAACAGAAAAAATGTTGTTGCGCTTCCAGGCCATATGCAGAAATGAATTACATTTAGAAATCAAATAAAGCCAATATCACACTCTATTAAATACAGGGTGGTGGTGGTGGTGGTTGTTGTTTTTTTTTAATCTGACAAGAAAAAAAGCACAAGGTCACATTTATTAGACAAATTATTAGTTATAGTTATAGTTAGTCAATCACTGATGGAAGCATCCACCATATTGCTCTCTTCACCATATTTTAGACCAGCAATGGACAAAGCCGTTTTCTGTTACGCTGAATGCCCATTTGATTTTTTTTCATGTGTGTGTTTGTGTTTTAAGGGGGCGAATGCCAACAAAAGCGGGGAGGTCAGGACCCCCAGCCGAGCGTTCTCCGCTTCCCAACTATATTTCACCTTCCAATGCCCGGTACGTACCAAGACTGGTTGCACAATCAACTGTTCCCACTCAATTTTACACCGTCAGTGAGTGGGAACTCAACAAGCACTGTTGCTGCCAGAACTAAGCGATGGAAAAAGTCAACAAAGAATATACACTTTAAAATGAAAGTAAATTATGATTTCCTGTTAAGAAGAAATAGAAGCCTGCAAGGGCACTACGGGCATGCTTGACAGTTTGTGCCGAACAAGTCTCCACACAGAATTATTGCCTTTAATCATTTGACAGCGATTATTTTATAACGATGCAAAAGGAAGATACACAAGATGTACAATCGGCCTTATGACTGCCATAAAATGTTGCTTCCAGTGTACAGCAGTCAGCATATTAAAGAAAGGGGAGTCGGGGAATTTCTAAATAAAACAAAGTAAGAGCAGAGTTATTATTTGGAGAAAAAAAAATGTCTTCGGGTCACAGAACAACTGGAGATACAATGTAAAACTTATCAAATTTGGTATCGCAAAGCCAATTGTTAATATCCCAGCTTTGGCTGGGGAAAAAAAAAATCAGTCATCAAAGCGCTGTGAACCAGATGATGGATGTGAAAGCTGCAGCTGGAGTGACTTATAGCACATTTTGCACCTCGTAGCTTGTTGCGTGCGTGTGTGTGTGTCCGAACGTAAAGACGGGAGTCCATTACCTTCCCGCGTCAGATGAGCTTCTGAAGCAGCGACGGATTGAGCAACCACAAAAACGTAATCACCCAAATTGGCTTTTGAGAGGTAGAGAAATGAGTGCATCGTAATTTGGAAAGATTATCTTCGCAGGTAAGGTGGTAGGTGGTGGTCTGTGTTCGGAGGGGAAAATTACAAGGATGAAAATGACAATTTAGACACACATCCTGACTTGTGGCAGTGAGCAAGTGTCGAGAAGGGAACTGAAGCCGGCGAGAGTATTACTACAGCTCAGAAAGGATCCATTTTGTCGACATCTGAAATTATTCTTATTTTCCCGTTTTTGAGGATGGGGGGGTTTTCGTTTTCTTTCCATTAAAAAAAAAAAAAAGAAAGTCATGAGTTTGCTGGTTGATGCCTCGGCTGTATCAAAGCATGCGTTAATCTAACTCTGTTTTTTAAATGCCACATTGTTTTCTTGCAGCCTCGGGCTTTTGTTGGCAATTTCCCTTCCACACACAGAGCTCAGGAGTTGAGCGGAAAGTAGCGGCCACACCTCCGCCCAGCTCGTTTGTTCATTCGGTTGAGTAATCAGAAGGTGTGATTCCATCCCAAAATTGTATGCGAATGAACTGATGCTCATCGTTTAGCTGAAACATCAGTCAAAGAAATCACGGGCGAATACAAGAGATCACAACAGCTCATAGAAAATCAGAAATACGATGCATGGTCGGGATGTCAGAGCAATCTGAACGGATGCTGATGAATCGTTTTGAGGCCTTGCTCACGACAACTCAGCAGGACTCAAAAAGGAAAGGTGGATGAGGTTGCGCGTTGTATTTTTGTACATTTTTTTTGCATTGGAAAGACTCTCCGACAAACAGTGCTTTAATATGATTTCGACCACTTGGGACTTCTTGTATTCCTCCATTGTGCAATTCTGTTCACTCTGGACTGCTCGCAAGTCCACTGCAGGGAATATATGCACAAACAACCACTCCCAGACACGTTTTAGAAGTTAAGTATTAAATCGACCTAACGTTGTGGGGTGTTTTTTTTTTTTTAGGAATGTGGGAGGAAGCCAGCGCATCCGGGACAACCCACGCAAGCGCAGGGGACAACATGCAAACTGCATAGGAACAACGTACCTCAGAACTGTAAGTCAGCCGTGTTAACCACCATTCCACCGTGCCCAGATTTTAAATCACCAATGATTCATACTCCTGTTTAGCATTTTAACAGTGCACTCCTGGCTTTTCAGTCACTCTTCATGAACTCTGTGCACATCACTCATGATACCTGCCAAGAAGGATTATCATGTTGACAGCAACACACAGCACCTGGCAAGTAGACTTCATTTTCTTATTATGTAAATATCCAGCCTTCCATTTTCTGTCGCACTTGTCCCCATGAGGGTCATGGGTGAGCCGGAGCCCATCCCAGCTGATACGCTTGAGAAAAGCGGTCAATCCGAGTGCACACGTATTGACAGACAGGGCACATTTACACACACATGGAAAATTTGGGGTCTTCAGTTTACTCAACATGCATGTTGGAGGCTTGGGGAGAATATGCAAACGCCACAAAGGAGGCCAGAGCTGAGATTAAAAATCATGAACTTCGGAACTGTGAGGCCTTTCAAGCTGGCCACGAGTTCGCCATATCAATTAGACTTTTTATTTAATTTTTCTGCCAAAATTTTCAAAATCAGCGACACAGATGGGATTCTATGATTCAAATTTAGGAAGAAATAGAGGCTGGAACTCCCAGCATGCCATGTGGCATTGTGTAAGTAGTTGCTCAGAATTACGTTTTCATTGTTAATGTCTGATGTTAATTATTTCCCAGTAGTAGTAGTAGTAACAGACTTGTGTTCATCCACCCCTTTTATTGAATTATTGTTCACTCACTGTGGATTTATGTGCTCGCACTTGATTTACAGCTACGCCTGTATTTTTAACTAAAAATCGATGCATTCTCACGTGGTGGTGTGGGGGCAGAGTGCGGTCATTATGAAAGTGGGGAGATGTGGCCCCGATGTCACCCCTGTCATCTGCCCCCATGTTCAAAGCAAAGAACGAATATCATTTTGATAAGCAGTGCAAAATATATAGAGGACTCACTGTGTTTTTAGTAGCGGGGTTTTTAAATGTATTTTTTTAATCTCTGGACTGAAAAATAAATTATATTACACGGGTCTGCTTGGCAGTTTTGGGCTTTTTTTCCCCTTGATGACAAATTAGTTATAGCCTCTTGGCAAAAGTGAGGAAATCGCTTTATTTTGGAGGGATGAACCGGATCTTGCTTAACTCACTGTGGTGCGTTTGACCAGGTTCCAGTTGGCCCCCCTGGTTCGGAGCTGGTTCACCAGTTGCTCGTTTTGAACGCAATCTTTCAGGGAACAGCGTGCAGTTGTCACTTTATCCCACACTTGAGTGTGACGAGATATCGCCAAGTGACTTGTCGTGGCGACGCAGAGCCGCGACAACTTTGTGCGACTGCGCATCTGGCAGTGAAGGTGAGTAGTGTTGTTTTAGGATTATTTTTAATGTACACTGTTGTTCTTGCCTGTACGGGCACCACGCGTGGAGGTGGGGTTCGCTTAAAGTCCCGAGAATCTACACTCGCTGCATGTCAAACATTTTCTGCTGAAGCAACAAGTGGAAGGCCCTGAGCTGCGTGCGTTGCTTTGTCCGATGACACTTGAACGCCACTGAATTCACGAGTGGGTTAAACAGGTGACAGATAACAGTCGTGCAAGAGATCGCCAGAGTGTGCACAATCTCGTTCTGACTTAACAGTAATGGTAGTTTTTTTTTTTATAACCTTAATAATACTGTACTCTGAGCGCAAGGAGTGCCTTCATGTTAACATTTTTTTTTTTTACCGCACACGTGGTTCTCCTCCAGTGTAATAACACCTTCTGACGGCGTGTTGGGGGTCATTAAATTTAAACAAGAGCATTTCAACAACCGCTTAGCACCGCGTGTAAATAACAGTCCGCTCGCTATCAGTCACTCACTCGCTCGCATTTTTTGTTCTCAGAGTTGGAACTGTAGCGATGCAGCTTTTCAAGTCATTGATTCCTCGTTGTTGTTGTTTTTGCAAAACAATGATTGACTGATGAATGCTGCTTCCTGCGAATGTACCACTAAGTTTCGTTTTATGCAGATAGTGTTGTCACAGTCACTTAGTCCGCAGCAATTTTGTTTATGGCTATAGCTTGTAAATGCAATTGTTTGATCGTTCGTTGCAGCAGTTCTGCAAGATTAAAAGCATTCCTCTTATTTGGGGCTGATACAAATGTAAATTCGACTTCTTAGCACTCTCTAAACTACTAGTTCGCTGCAGTTAGATGATCCCAACTTGTATAGCATCAGCGGCACTCTGAGAGTACAACAAATCACAGCTGCAATCAAACAGAAAGCAACCTTCTCTAATGAACAAACTCTAAAATGTGGATTGCTTGCAATAAAGCATCTATTGTCATCGTCATAGCGCCCTCCGATGAAATGCTTCACTGCCCTATAGCTTGCTGGACCAGCCAGGACTCTTCTTGTGAACATTACAGTTCAGAGATACGTGCACTTTGTCCAAACTGTGCCGTGACAAGTTTTGTTGTTTGGTTAGCACACACAGTGTGTTCATTTCTTAGCTTTGTAACCTTTGATCGAGATTTTGTTGCTAACCGAAAGCATATTTACGGCTGTGGGTTTAATGCAACAGATTTGAAGTCGAGTTTTCTACAGAACTAAACTGGTGTCGGACTGTGGCCGTTAATACCCCTATCTGGCTATCTATCTGTTTTTCAAAAACAATACCCAGTTGGACTAGGTAACAAATAAGGGTTGAATCCCAGTCATGCTCTGCTTTACTTTCTGTGTGGGTTGACAACGGGGGTAGCTATTTTCTTGATTAAAATTCCCGACGATTGACTCCCACTGGCTGGCACGGACCACCTACCACTCCTTAACAGAGGAAGGTGCAGCTTCTTGGTGCACAGCCGTTTCATATCCACGATATTAAGGAGGCGGGGAGGTTTTATTTGGGAGGGATGGATGGGAAACGGCATCGGCCTTGAGCGTTTGTGTTCAAAGCGTGGACTTTTCTTTAATGGCTGGGAAAAGTTGTGTCATTTATAGTTGGACTTTACTTGGCGCTGACCTTTTTGTGTGCATGGTGGGAGTGTGCAGGTCTGTAAAATATTTGCAAATGTATTTAGTGGCGTGCAGGCGATCAAACTTGATTTATTATTTCATTAAAAAACAAGTTTTGAATGAGTCTCGTTGAGATGGGAGTGCATAGGTGGCGCATTGCGTGGTGCAGCTTTAGCCGCTTTTGCTTTTTAACAATTACCATTACCCTCCGCTAAACACTGTAGTACAAACAAAACACACACATGCGCGCGCGCGCGCACACAATGCATGTTTGACAAGAGGGGAGGCAGCTTTCAAGTCAAGGTCAAAGCTTCCAGCGAGGGCGGGTAAACCCTCCACATCTGCGTTTACCCCCAAATGGCAGTTTAAGAAGCACCGGCCCGCCATGTTGTTTTTTTTTTTTTTTTTTTTACATTTTTATTTTTTATTTTGCTGTTTTCCGAGTGTGACTCATCTGGTTTAGTAGTCACTTAGTTGGATACAGACTTAAGTTTATAGAAAACTTAATGGAAGAAGACAGTAACATTGTTTTATTTTTTTTTGGTCCACTTATCGTTTGCGCACAGTAGAGTCGATCCAAGTGAAAAGCCTTGGTGTTGAATTACCATGCCTCTTGAATCGTACCCAGAACTAAACTAACCAAACTAGTGAGCTGCGAGTCGGCGTTGTTAAACTTCAAACCGAGCGTGCATCCCCGTGTCTTTAACTTTGGGTTGTTACCTGACTTTAGAAGTCTGGTGAGACTTGATCAACCCCCAGGTGACTGAGGTAAAGTTGAACTCCCCCGACAGCGCACTTGACCTGACTCCCTTCGGTCTGTCCGTCGACCATCATTGGATCATTTTCAAAAACTTTTGAAACTTTGAACGGACAAACAATTTTTGTCTGAGCGACTGAAAACGCTGTCATGAATCCTGAACAATAACTTGAACGCAATACCTAAAATTCAGCCTCAGTGCTTTGACTTCTACGCATGAAAATAAATTGGGATGGCTGAGCATTCCATCCCAGTTTCTCACCACAGTCTTGCGCAGTACGCCAACGTTGGCATACGCTCGCCAGCATTCACCCCCGGCCAGTATTTATGATTTCACTCATGCAGAGCAGGGGATGAAACTGCAGGGATTTAATTTTTTATTTATTTATTTTTTATTTTTTAAAAGGAGTAGATAATATACTTGGCACCCAAAACCGTAGGGTGGTTAAATGTGTTTCCCATTGTCAAGTTTAGTTGTTGCAACTTTGAATAAGTGTTCCTTACTACTAATCAGTGATCACATCACAGGGTCGCTGTGTTCTGGGAACGTTGTCTTGTTTAATTCCAACGTCAATGTATAATAGATTCCGACCGTTCAACAGATGACGATACCGACATGGCGTGAAGTTCGTACTGGATAGATCACTCACTCCTTTAGTGCATGGTTAACCCTCACTCACGTCCGAACAAACTGACAATAAATGAAAGCGATGCCAAAAAGGAGCAAAGAATGTTCTCCAACTGTGAGTGAAGATGAGACGGCTGGCACCCAGGAATGATTAACTCCGCTGGGTGCGCTGTATCAGATGTTGTAAAAGCAAAGCAACACGTCTTGTACTTTCCTGGGATCCGACCTCTGTGTGTGTGTGTGTGTGTGTGTGTGTGTGTGTGTGTGTGTGTGTGTGTG